AAACCCAATCCTTTAGGTTTGGGATGTAGACACCGCCTTATTGGAAAAGACCAAACGGCTAAAATACATTTGACATTTGGTCTAAAAAGTAGTATAATTAGAGTATCAAGTTGGCAGACAGTTGAAGCGTAATCGCAAGGTTACGTGTCTGCCTACCCACTTCAACGGGGTTAAAGACTTGGTACTTGAGATACCATGCGAAACACAACACATAAGCTTTTCAAAGATAAGACGTTGCGTTACTTGCACGACGATTGTAATATCTGTGGCGTTGTGAAGAATCACTTTCTGTCCCTCTGCATGCGATATTACCGTCGTTACGGTAAGGGACCTTCGTATGCGAAGATGTCGAAGCACTTGACGAAACTTAAAAAACTTGAGCAATACCAGCATTGGAATATCCCCTATTCGTGGGCGTTACAGAATGTTCTCAAACGCTTAGCACAATCCTTTAGAGAAATGAAAACGTTAGGCAGAGGACACCCACAATTTAAGTCCTGCAAGAAACACAAAGGTATGACCTTTAGAGGTGAACAGGTCAAGATTGAAAAACTATTAGACAAGCAAAAGCATAAAAGAAACCACCCGACGTATCGTATGCGTCTCAACGGACGTTGGTATCGTTTCGCCTTGCACCGTGAAATCAAAGGCGAAATCAAGCAAGTTCAAGTGACACGAGACGCACTCGGAGACATGTATATCACGCTTACTGAAGACTATAGTGAAATCAAATATGAACCCAAGACAGGTAAAGCTGAAGGGTTCGACTTTGGTATCAAAGACTTCCTGACTGGCTCTGACGGTAAGCCCTATACGTCTCCAATGTTCTACAAACACAACGCCAAGACATTGGCAGAAGCACAGAAAGTATATTCCCGCAAGGTCAAAGGGTCTAACAACCAAGAACGCCAACGCAAGACCGTTGCGCGTATCCATAAGAAGACTGCGAATCAAAGAGCAGACCATCATTGGAAACTCGCAATAGACTTGTGTAGGAATTTTGACATATTGTTCTTTGAAGACCTTAACTTGCGCGGAATGAAAAAACTTTGGGGTAAACAAGTTTCTGACCTCGCCTTGGGTGCGTTCATGCAGAAACTCAAGCACCAATCTCACAAACGGATACGTTCTGTATTGAAGATTGATCGCTGGTCGCCGACCACAAAGTGCTGTTGTGTTTGTGACCATAAAAATGAAACCTTAACGCTATCAGATCGTCAATGGACGTGTCCGAAATGTTATACACACTTGGATCGCGACCATAACGCTGCTATCAATATTCTTAAGGAAGGGGTAGCTTCCTTTAGATTAGGAGTTGTAAGCCCAATTGTTCTATTTAATAGGATTGTTGGCTGCTCCGTTGAATCGGAACATCCGCTTCTGAATTCTACAAATGCTTCTGCTTAACTTTTGCAGAAGCCCAAGTCTTTAGACTTGGGTCTATCACATTCAACCGTTGTCAAAATCGGACGTGCGATGAATTGTACGATGCCAAGGAAAGAAACGCGCGAGGCGTGTCGTCGGAAAGTGCATTTATAGCAAGAAAAGAGATAAGTTCTAAAATAGAAACCGATACATCGGTTGATTTGTCATAATTCCTATGAGACTCCACACGCTACCGACGATGAATTCGCCTAAAATCAGACCGAGGAAGAACGGAATAAGTTTTCGGTGCACACTCACACCACCCTGCCGAAGAATAATCCATTTGATGACTGAACTCACTAAAATCGAAAACCAGAACACATTCATCGACCAGCTGCTGGAGATAGCGAACCCAGCGGGGTGAAAGGGCCACCAAAAAAGCCGCATCCGCATCACCATCAGAAAGCCGGTGATGAGGAAACCGATACACATTGCAACGATTGCCGGTACATCTGGTGTTCTCGGCGAGGTCAGCCAGCTTTGGAGTCGATTGAAAGGTCTCCCGGCGAACCAATCCCGCGCGCCTTCGATATAAGAAATATGATAGAATGCCCAAAATGAAGCGAACGTCCCGACAACAATTGCAATACACATTGCAATTAGCAATCGTCGATTCGAAATTCCGGTTCGTTCCGCTAATTTAAATCCCTCCAAAATGTGTGGCATCGGATGCCCGCGGTAGGCACGGTTGAAGAAGAACAGATATGCCATTATGGTTAAGTTGTGCGGACCGAGCAGGCGCGTCCCAAAAATACGAGGCATCATCTCATCAGGTCCAATGAAGTGCAAATCGTGGACAGGCGATCCGAGTTCCGCACGCATTCGGGTCACCGCCGTAGAGATGGCGTAATAGATACCAAAAAACACGAGGATCACCCAGATAGACATCCCCGCCGTTTTACAGAAGCCAACGATAAAGGCAAAACTCGCGATGAGCCCTAACATTGTCACTCGATAGGACATCGGTTCGTCTGAGTCATCAACACTCCGATCATTTCTAAATAATTTTCGCCCGACTTGTGCGAGGTGTCTCCGCGTCGCCACAACGGCGATGACAAACAAGCCGAGATACGCCCCGAAAGATTGTTCATCAGTGAAAGGGAAGTTTGGCATGCCGCGGACCCCTAAGGCATCTCCGAAGACCCGTTCTACTTTCCAGAAGAGATAGAAAAACCAGCAGGAGAACGACAAGTCAAGCGGAATAAAAAAAGCAATGCCTACCGCGAACGGAAACACAGCTACCGGGCTCCATCCCACGGCACTCCACGGTTTCTGTGTAAAGAAGGGTCGTAAATCGTAAAGTCTCCCACCCAAACTCGGCACGGTGGGATAGAGATAGTGGAGTCCATTGAGGATGTCAATTGCCCCGGCGATACCAAAACCGAGCCACATCATCTTATTCGTCAGCAAGTTTGTTCTACCGCCACTTGTCAGTTCAAGTGGTAGTTGAATAATGGGGTAGCTCAGCTTCTCGTGTTCTGTCCACTGTTTCCGGACGAGGCTGTTAATACACACCATCAGGAAGACCATTGCACATAGGAAGCCTCCCCAGACAAAAGTTGTCGTCAGCCATCCTTGTACAGTTTCCCATTGGTAAAGGGTTGTTTCGCCGCGATAATACTCCGTTAAGAAAGATCTTTCCTTGACAGCCATCCAATCCGGGATATACCGATGAAACAGGTCTGCCCAGTCATTTTCTGGTGTTGAATACCAGAACGCATACGGAATCATCGGAATCAATACGCGAAGTACATCGTGTCCTGCGAGTGAGGAAGCAATCGCCAACATGACGTAAATCGTCAGCAATTCGCCTTGCTGCATTGCAATCCTTGGTGCTATCCGCACTAAGAAGAAATTAACGCCCATGATGACAAAGATGCAGAAGATGACGTTAAAGTAGAGGGAGATAGTGGTCGGATACCCTTGACCGGCAGAGTCCAGAATCCAGTACATGTTCGGGATAATAAGAACAGTACCGAGTAGAATCGCTCGCCATGATGCTCCATATTTGGAGGGTTCTCTGAATCTGTGAGGTTCTGAAGTCAATTCACTTTTCAAATTGCGTGGTGCTTCCTCTCAACGACACGGCTGTACCTACTTGGATGGAGATTAACCAGAGTCCTTCGTTGAAGGCTCCGTCGGACGCTGTTCCTTCCAATTAAATGTATCTTTACCGAGTGCGAAAATAAAATTGCTTTGATTTTTTTCCGTGTGTCCTATATAATACATAATAATGCATAATACGTTTTAAATCCCGATCAACAGATCGAGGCTATTTTTGGCGAAGCTTGCAAGCCAAAACTTGCTATCAAAAGCCAGCACGCCAAAGGATAAACGCTATGGATACGACAACAGATCTTGATCAAGCCGCAGTCTTTACGCCGGAGCATAGGGAATTTGTCGAAAACAATGGGTATCTGCTAATAAGAAATGCCTTATCCCCTGATGTAGTATCGGAAATTGATGCTGCCGTTGATGAGGTTTATGCCAAAGAGGAAGCCGCGGGCAGACTTGAGGACGGTGGTAAATTAAACCTCCGTAACTGCATCACGCACCACGAGGCATTCCTCCAACTCCTTGACTGGCAGAAAACGGTGCCGCTCGCCTACGGGGTTCTCAATTGGAACGTACAGATGATTACGTCGCACCTCATTGCACTCCCCTCAAAAGAGGAACCACCTCCTGAGGTGAAAAACCGCATCGGTTTGCACCGCGACGGTGGCACGTCACATGGCGAGATGCAGGAACCTCACCCTCGCATCATGCTCAAGATTGCTTACGCTATTAACGACCAATCCGACCCTGCCTCCGGTGCAACTGTGCTGGTCCCGGGGAGTAACCGATTGACAGGTAAACCCCCACTTGACCCAGATACAGGTTGGGCGCGCGGTGCTATCTCTATGAACGTCAATGCGGGAGATGCCTTCCTCTTTGAACAGCGCACATGGCACGGCATTGGACACAACTGGTCCGGTATGCCACGCAAAACCATTTTTATGGGATATGCTTACCGCTGGGTCAAACCGATGGATTATATCACGATGCCTGATGAACTGGTTGCCAAATGCAACCCAATTCAGAAGCAGTTGATCGGAGTCGTCAGTGATCCGCTCAGTTACTATCTACCGAAGGAACAAGATGTACCGCTGCGCTCATTGCTTGGTTCACAGGATTAGTTGGTGAACCTACGTCACAAAATGAGGAGGCACCCATTCGCTATTCAAGTTCGCTTTCGAGCGAAAGGCTATAGTCGAGCAGCGCGTTCGCATACGGGATGTTGTGAAGCCCATATCCGTTGTCGCCTTTAACCATATCGTAGTTCAGTTTTGCGTCCAGATAGGCTTGCGCAGTTTTGTCAGGCACAGCGTCAAGCATCGTTTTGACGGCTTGCATCTTCGCCTCTATCTCGGCGCGATACTGCGGCAACTTTGTCTCCATACTGTTATCGGCACTATCGTGACAACCCGCAGTGCTACATGTCGAGAAATCCGCTTTGAATGTGTGGCCCCCGTGTTTTGCAACTGTCTCTGGATCCTCTTTTGCCATGTGGCATTGCACGCATCGTTTCTTCATCGCGCGCACATGTGGCGATGGCATCCGTTTCACACCGGCACCCTCGCGACCAAGGAACATCTCCGATTGTGATTGGTGGACGATACCAGCACCCTGCACAACCGCAGTCCATTTTATGGCAGTCAACACATAATTTTCTCGCAGGTTTCACCAATAGATGTTCCGACTTGCTGGTGTGTGAATGACAGGAAGAGCAGGCAACGGCGTTTACCGCTGTCTCCATGTTGTACGTATGCCCGGGATAAACCCGATCGCTGAAAATTTCATAGCCGGAGGAATGGCAACTCAGACAAGAGGTGCGGAGCTCATACGGACCCTCAATCAGGTTGACAAGGGCGTGTGAGTGTCCCGCTTGCTTCCATTCTTGATAAGCCGGTTCAGTGCCGTGACACTTGTTGCATCCTTCAGCAAAGGGTGTTGTCGGGTCAGACGTAGCATTCTCTACAGGTGCTGCGTGCAGTGTCGCGATATTGTCATAGCCACAAAGCGCGAAAAGGGCAATCGTTCCCGTCAGTAGGGATAACCCTAAAAATAAGGAAACCTGTTTCATTTTTTAATTTATTGCTCCTGGGCACCGCTCCATTTCATTACGCGGTGGTTTTCGATGATCCTATATCTATTTTGGATCTTAGATTTTTTTTAATTTGGTTACCCGTTAACAACAACGAGATGGAATGGACGTTTGGTACATGCTTCGCACAAGTCTCCCCGACTTTAGGTGGGGGAGTTGACCAAAGCAGATGTGCTATAAGAACCCCACTGCTTTTACTGTCGGAGCATATCCGTATACCTTATCTTGGTTAAATATCATACCTTACCTTATGAAATATGTCAACACTTTATTGTAGGCCTGGCTATTCGGTTCCCCCTGCGATCTCCTGCTGGTAGGAGGGAACTCCGATTCCCGACTCTGATAACTGACAACTAATAACTGATAACTGATATAGGAGGGACTTTGATGTCTCAATCTGGAAACGGAATTAACCTTTTCAATGGTAAAAATATGGACGGTTGGCTTGCTCGCGGTGGGGCACCACAACATGAATGGGATGCCGCTGGCAGCGTTGCTCTCAACCCCGACGATGCCAAACTACTGGCAACAACGGCAGGTGAAGGAATTTTTTACAACGGCACCACCGGACGAACTGTTGATATCTACACCGAGGCTGAGTACGGTGATTGTGAACTCCATTTGGAATTTATGGTGTCACAAGGCTCTAACTCAGGTGTTTATCTCATGGGGAGATACGAGCTCCAGATATTGGACAGTTGGGGTGAAACGGAACTCCACTATGGGACCTGTGGTGGTGTATATTGCCGTTGGATCAACAATCAACCGGTAGACGGTGTGCCGCCGCGCGTCAATGCCAGTAAGCCACCGGGCGAATGGCAGACGTACGACATCACCTTCCGCACACCAAAATTCGATGCCGATGGTAATAAAATTGCCAATGCTACCTTTGTCAAAGTCCTCTGGAATGGACAGGTCATCCATGAAGATGTTGAAGTGGTGGGTTGCACGCGCGGAACAATGATTGAAGATGAAGCCGCTACGGGTCCGTTATTGTTGCAAGGCGACCATGGACCTGTTGCCTTTCGCAACGTTGTGTTAAAATCCGCTTTTTAATTATACCTTGCGGATTTTTAATTATACCTTGCAGAGAAACACCGTGAATTTGAATCAGGGATGTGTCTTCCTCAAATCCGCCTGCGCCGCTGTTGCAGGCTACGGGTTTTGGAGTCCGTGATAGCACCCACTACCTAAAGGCAGGGGCTTCGGCTTCGTAGACAATAGCGGTTTTCCCGAAGGTCAACCGTCTTACGTTGTCTCCACCAGCAGGCGATTCCCCAAAAGGTGAAAAATCCCTTTGGGCATATCGTGCGAAAACTTTCACGGCTATCCCCGCCTGCCTCTATCCAAAATGGATAGAAAAGTTGAAAGAGTGGGTAGCAAACGCAACGTGCGGGATTTCACCTCCGCTCCGAAGTATTACGCGCCGCTACCGATATATGTTTTTAGCAAGGTATCACTTGCAACTTGTTTATGCCACCTTTCACAATGGCGGACAACTCCTGCACAAAGGTATGTGCAGGGTGAAAGCGTTGTCCAGCAAGTTACAGATATTATACCACATTTTTAGGTGAATGTCAAATCTTTTTTGACTTTCAAACGCAATGCCCGCCTATATCCCCAAGCTAAAGCATGGGGCTTTGACGGGAAGAGAGGTAAATTAAAAAATAAAAATAAGGAATTATTATGCAAAAACTGAAACTGGGTGTTATCGGGGCAGGCGGTATTGTCTGCCGAATGCACCTGCCTGACCTCGCGCAAGGCACCGATTTTGAAGTCAGTGTCATCGGTGGGAGACGCGAACACCGCCTCAAACATCAATGTCAAGAATTCGACATACCCCGCTGGACACAGGATTACGACGCAATCATCGCCGATGATACGCTTGATGCTATTCTTGTGGGTACCCCGCACCCCTTACATGTCTCGTGGGGTATCCAAGCGTTGGAAGCGGGCAAACATGTGCTCATGCAAAAACCGCTCTGTGGCGATATGGATGAGGCGAATCAATTTGTAGAGGCAACTGAAGCGAGTGGCAAAACAGTCATGTGTCTTCCGCATTTCAACGCCGCTATCTATAAAATTCGTCAATTGATTGCGGAGAATGCGATTGGACGTGTGTCCGGTGCGAGAATGCGGAGTAGCCATGGAGGTCCTGAAATCTACTATGCAGAGATTCGGGACATCTTTGGCGAGTCTGGCGATGATTTGTGGTTTTTCGATGCCAAACAGGCAAGTGTCGGCGCGCTTTTCGATATGGGAGTTTATGCTGTCTCTGGGCTCGTCGCGATGCTCGGCACCTTCAAACGGGTGACCGGTTTCGTTTCTACGTTCGACAAGCCGACAGAATTAGAGGATGTCGCGACACTTGTGCTTGAAATGCAATCGGGCGGAATTGTCACTGCGGAAACGAGTTGGTGTGATCCCGCGCGCACGGGTGAAGCAAGTGTGCACGGCACGGCAGGCAAATTCACGATGCCCGGCAAAGATGGCGTGACACTCAGTCAGTGGACACCGACCTCTTATACGCGCGAGCACGCTCCTGTCGATGTCAAAGCGATCGACTGTTCCGACGCAGCACCGAGCGGAATGCACACACATTTTGCGGAGTGTATCCGTGAGGGAACGCAACCCCTACTCTCAAACGCCTATACGGCGCGTCATGTCACTGAGATTCTGCTTGCGGGTCTCGAGTCCTCTGAGACGGGTAAGGCGATTGAATTGACAACGGAAGCGGACAATTGTGGAAATTGTTCATCGTCGGACTGTTGTTAAGAGGGTGATCAAACTAACGACAGAAGGGACAGGTAATTAGGTAGGGAAAGTAGGTGTGTTCATGTAGGCGCGCCTTTTAGCCGCGCCTACACGAAACGTTCTAAAGGTCTAACCTAAACTGGCGTGAAGTTCATACCAGTCATCAAGGTTGTTGAGATTAACAGCGTCTAAGATGGAGCCGTCGTCATCAATGCTGCTTGCACCGAGGATGCTCCCGCGGGTATCATCGTCATGATTATAGCCCGCAATTGCAGCGTTCAGTTCGGCGACCGCTGATCGATCAAGGCTTCCACCGCTCTGTTCCAAAACCCACGCTTCAAACTGTGGATAGGTGGGGGAATTGTCACTGATATATGCCAGCGTAGCATCTTTGTCCAGACCGAGTCCATCTAACACCATCTGATCGAAAGCCCTGCTCCACATGCCGGATAATCTGCATGCAGCTGACCCCTTGGCATCCATTAGCACTTTCGACCAGAATCGGGGGAGATGTAACACACCGAGCGGCCCTTTAACCCCGGAACTAATTGTCGGAATCATTCCTGCCATTTTCTTTTCTCCTTCTTATGAATGTTGTGAATAATAGGCGGCATCATCGGCACAATTGGTGCCGTTACCTACCATGCGAAATTCTACACCATTATAGCAAAACGCGCAAAAAAAGCAAATTTTTTAATTTTCCTTGCGGTTCGGTCAGGTGGGTTTGATGGATAAAGGGTTTCCTTTCCGTATATCCGCCCTCCATTACATTACGGGCTACGGGTTTTATTTTAATTTTAACCCAGACAGTAGCCTGCAACAACGGCGCAGGCAGATTTAAGGAACGCACGTCAAAGTCCTAACGCACGGCGTTACTCCGCAAGGTATAATTAAAAATCGGGCTTAACAACTTTAAATCTGAGTTCACCCGGCTTGATATAGCCGAGTCGTTTTCTGGCGAGGCGTTCCTTTGTTAGCACTTGTCGCTTTGTAGCATTTCGACGCGCTGCTTGAGTCGGTCGCGTTCTGCTTCTAACCCCTGTATCTCAGCACGGTAGGCTTCTTCGGCAAGCTGCGCCTGTTGCCAGTCATTATAACCGTTCATAAATTGCCTGACACTCACGAGGAGTAAGGCAAGCGCGATCAAGAATAAGATTGGACGAAAAATGCGCATAGAGCATCCCTATGAAGGAGATATTTCGGGACAGCGTTAAGGCTGTCCCTATGTGAATACAAAGATTTAGTGGAGACCTGCCAAGTTATAGAAAACTTTCCTACCAGCAAAAATAGCACTCTCTCCTAATTCTTCCTCAATCCGGAGGAGTTGATTATATTTACAGACACGATCGGTGCGAGAGAGCGAACCTGTCTTTATCTGTCCGGCGTTCGTTGCAACAACCAAGTCAGAAATAGTCGTATCTTCTGTTTCACCCGATCGATGTGAAACGACAGCCGTGTAATTGAAGCGTCGCGCGAGTTCAATGGCATCGAGCGTTTCTGTCAAGGTCCCAATCTGGTTCACTTTGATGAGGATTGAGTTGCCAATCTGTCCATCAATACCTCGTTGCAAACGGGTAGTGTTGGTGACAAAGAGATCATCACCGACGAGTTGGACCTTATCGCCGATTGCCTCAGTCAATTGTTTCCAACCTTCCCAGTCGTTTTCATCCATGCCATCCTCTATGGAGACAATTGGATATTTCTCACAGAGTTCCGTATAAAAAGCGACCATCTCTGCTCGTGATTTCGTCGGTTGTGCTTCAGCTTTTAATTCGTAGGTGCCGGTGCTCCGGTTGTAGAATTCGCTGGATGCGGCATCCAATGCTAAGAGAACATCGTCCCCGGGAGCGTAACTTGCCCGCTCAATGGCTTCGATGATTACGGCAATCGCTTCCTCGTTAGAACCGAGATCCGGGGCAAATCCACCTTCATCACCAACAGCGGTGTTGCAATTTCGGGCTTGCAAAACCGCCTTGAGACTATGAAAGATTTCGGCACCCATGCGGAGTGCTTCGGCGAAACTCTTTGCACCCGCAGGCATTATCATAAATTCCTGAATGTCAACGTTGTTGTCGGCGTGAGAACCACCATTTAATATGTTCATCATCGGTAAAGGGAGTTCTTTCGCGTTTGTTCCACCAATATAGCGATAGAGGGGTTGCGCCACTTCGTCTGCGGCGGCTTTCGCGACAGCGAGGGAAACACCTAAAATCGCGTTCGCACCCAGCCGACTTTTGTTCTCTGTACCGTCAAGTTCGCACATAGCCGTGTCTATGTCATTTTGTGCAAAGGCATCTTCACCTACGAGGGCACCAGCAATGACGGTATTGACATTTTCAATAGCTTGCTGGACACCTTTCCCCAAATACCGGTTGGCATCCTTATCGCGCAATTCGACCGCTTCGTGTTCACCCGTAGACGCGCCAGAGGGAACAGCGGCACGTCCGAATGCTCCTGTCGCTAAATTAACGTCCACCTCGACTGTCGGGTTACCACGCGAGTCCAATATCTCGCGTGCGTGTATATCGATAATTTCTGACAAGGTTTTCTCCTTCTGAAGTTTTATGATTCCGAAATGTGTCGGCTGCTTCCGATAAGTAGATTTCTTCAATACTCTCGGATATCTTAGCCAACACTATTCTTCAATAACCGCATCTGCAAGTAGAAATGCAGATGCTAAAAAGATTAAACTATACCCGGCGAGCAACTTCAGCCAGAACCCGCCCTCTAATCCACCGGTTACCAAAAGTGAAACAGTGCATTTCGCTCCGCCCATAATGATTGGTATGACAAGCGGAAGTAGAATGACGGAAAGCAGACTTTCACCGCCGTTTGCGCTCGTGGACATGCCTGCTAACAGGACACCAACAGCGCAAAAACCGAGCGTGCCGGTACTCAGCACGCCGAGCAGTTTCAATAATATACCCACCGTCACTACGTCAAGCAGATCCAAGAATTGAAGTGCGATGGGCGTGATGACAATTTCCAATAGAAATAGAAAAACAACGTTGCTAACGACTTTAGAGAGGTAGAGGTTACTCGCATCAACGCCGGTGAGCCGAATACCGTCCAGGGCACCGTGCGCGCGTTCTAATGTGAATGAACGGTTCAAGCTAATAATTCCTGCAAAAACGAACGCTGTCCAGAGGACACTGGCGGCTAATTTACCACGTTCTACCCTTTCAGGGAAAATCGGACCGAATGCAAAAGCGAAGATGAGGACAACAAGTACGCTGAAAACGAAGATGAGTACCAGCGTCTCTTTTGAACGGAATTGAAGTCCAAGATCCTTACGAATCAACGCGCCAATTTGACGGAGTGCCTTCATATCTGTCTCAGTTGAATAGCCATCGGCAGTCAGTTATCAGCCATCAGTTACAAAAGGCTTTTGTTAAACGAAAACCTCTTAACTGCAAGCCGATTGCTGAAAGCCAATTGAAAGAGTCTACCTACAGCCCCTTCGGAGCGTTGTCTATCAACCTCTCCTCATACGTTAGCAGTAATGTCCCTGCCGTAATTTCATCTTTCTGTGCAACCTCTTCCAATTCTCCATTTATCATGAAGAGGAACCTTGTCCCTACGAGATAGCCCAATTCTGTGTTATGTGTCGTAATGACAATGCCTGTGCCTTTTTGTTGTTCCCGCGCAATACGATCGAGGACAAATTGTCTGGCAGAAGCATCCAGTCCAGAGAAGGGTTCATCGAGTAACAACACTGAGGGAGCGTGGAGAAGGGCTCTGGCGATCATGAAACGCTGCGTCATGCCGCGTGAGAAGATGCGAAGGGGTTCATGTAAAAAACGCTGTAGCCCGACTTCAGTAAGAAGTGTTGTTGCACGGTGTTCCAACTGCTTAATGCCGTACATCTGTCCGAAAAACTTGAGGTTCTCATAAGGACTGAATGAAGGGTAGGCGAGGCTCTCATGAATAACGACCCCCAACGCGCGACGTACGTCCAAGGCATCTGAGATGGCATCCGTGCCTTGAATCTCAAGTTTTCCAGATGTCGGTTTCAGGAGAGTTGCGAGGATTTTGATGAGCGTTGTTTTACCGGCACCGTTGGGACCGAAAATTGTGACCACTTCTCCGGGAAGAACCGAAAGTGTGGCATTTTTGACAATCGTGCGATGTCCGAAGTCCTTTGTGAGCTGGGAAGCACGAAGGCGCATGGTGTGAGAGATCCCGTATCAGGTAAAAAAGGCAATGGGCGGGACATAGACCCGCCCTATAGCCAATATTGTGGATAAAAAGTGTAGGTAAGCACAAAAACCTACTAACACTGTTTTTCTCTACATCATACGCTGGACAATCGCGTCGCCCTGTTCTTGGGTAATACCGAGCGGGTTGATGCGCCATGGGACCGTTTTCCAAAACGGGTTCCATTTCATCCAAGGCAGGACGGCTGGTATCTTGATAGAACAGCCCGATCGGGATTTCGTCTCCCCACTTGATGGCTTGTTCAAGTGCCGCAGCCTTGTTGCTTGGATCGTGATCTTCAAGTTCCTGGACGCGCTGTTTGAAAAAGGCAGTTGTGTTGTCCCTATTGAAAGTGATACAGGGGCTAAACACATCAATAAGGGCGAAGCCCCTGTGTTGCATGCCGTTGTACATCAGTTCCGTCAGTTGTCTTGGGTTACCGCTAAATCCTCTGGCAACGTAAGTCGCGCCAGTGACAATCGCCATAGCAATCGGATTGAGCGGAGCCTCTATATTGCCAAACGGGGTGCTTTTAGTTTTCATATCCATCAAGCTCGTCGGCGAGGCTTGACCGATGGTCAGCCCGTAAATTTGGTTGTCCATCACAATATAGAGGAGGTCGATATTTTTTCGCATCGTATGAATGAAGTGATTTCCGCCGATGCCGTATCCATCCCCATCACCGCCGGTAACAACCACGTTCATTTCGTGATTCGCAAGTTTCGCACCGGTAGCCACAGCAAGAGAACGTCCATGTAGGGTATGCATTCCGTACGTCTGGATGTAGCCGGGAAGGTTGGAGGAACAACCGATGCCACTCACGGTGAGGTGTTCATGATTGCCTTTGCCGAGTTTTGCATAAGCACTTTGTAGGGAACTCAGTACGCCGTAATCACCGCAACCCGCGCACCAATCCGGACGAACATCACCCTGAAAATCTTTCGCCGTAGGCGCGCCTTGAATGGGTCTTTCTCTTCGAGTAGATCTTTCTCGTTTCGCCATCTGATTCATCCTCCTTTTTTAGACGACAACTTCTTGATAGGGGACATAGAGGTCTGTCTTACCGCTTAAGAGCTCGCGGGCACCATCAACGATATGATGTGGCATAAACGGTTCACCGTCGTACTTGCGGATTTGACCGTCTGCCTTAAAGCCGGTTTCACCGCGTAAGAACCGTGCGAATTGACCGGTGTAGTTACACTCGACGATGATGGAATGTGCTGATTTTGCGAGCACTTCGTTCATTGCATCTTCGTCTATCGGATAGAGCCACTTGAAATGGATGTGATTCGTAGAAATGCCAGCTTCTGTTAACAATTGCGCCGCTTCCCCAATAACACTGTGCGTCGATCCCCACCCTATGAGAGTGACTTCGGCATCTTCCGGTCCTTCGAGCGTCGGGGGTGGGAGAAGTGCGGCAATGCCGTCCATCTTCCGTTGCCGTTTCTCCATGATGTCGCGCCGCTTGTGAGGATTCGTGAATTCGTCACTAATCAAAGTGCCGTCTTCATCGTGGTCATCGGTAGCAACGACGTGGACATGACCCGGAGTACCGGGAATCGCTCGCGGTGAGATCCCGCTGTCGGTAATTTCGTAGCGGAGGTATCTACCTTCGGACTGCTCGGCTCCATTAATGAGTGAACCTCGGTCTATTTCCGGGTGCCAATTGATAGAGTCTGGGTCGAACGTCGTGAAGCCCATGGACAACGTTAAATCGGAGAGGACCATGGCAGGACACTGGAACTTGTCTGCGAGATTGAAGACTTCAGGGATAGTATCGAAGCCGTCCACAATGCTCGTGGGGGCGACAACAATCTTCGGAAAATCGCCTTGGCTTGCACCGAGAATCTGCCATAGATCGCCCTGTTCCGTCTTAGTAGGCAAACCTGTAGAAGGACCACCACGCTGGACGTTAATAACGACGATGGGAATTTCCATCATGCCTGCGCTGCCGATGGCTTCCGACATAAGGGCAAATCCACCACCGGAAGTAGCACACATCGCTCGGCATCCAGCATGTGCAGCACCTATTATCATATTGACGACGCTAATTTCGTCCTCACATTGGCGTACCATGATGCTGAGATCGCGAGCGTTGTTTGCCATCCAGTGCAGAACACCCGTTGAGGGGCTCATCGGATAGGCAGCGTAAAATTTCACACCTGCGGCTGCACCACCCATTGCCATTGCCGAATTACCGTCAACGACAGCGAGGGCTGGTTCCTGTTTCTGGAATTGAGTGTCGAATGCGGTGAAGTGTTCAACTGCGTGATTGTAACCTGCACGCGCAACATCAATGTTCGCATCTACAACCGCTTGTCCTTTGCTTTTGAGGAATTGAACAGTCAGCATATCCTCGAACACTTTTAAATCTCCACCCACGAGTTTCATAGCTGCACCGAGCATACAGATGTTTAGCATCAGCTTTTTTCTATCGGTGTTATTAGACAATTCTTGATAGGACAGAGGTGCCAGTTGTATGTCATCACGCTCTGGTACCTTCTTGACATCATCGCTATTATAGATGAGTGTGCCACCGGGAGCAACATGTGGAAGGTGTGTCTCCAAGCTATTCCGGTCTAAGGCAATAACCAGATCAAGCGTGTCGCCTTGGTTAGCGACCGGTTCAGAACTGATTCTGGCAGTAAGGAAGGTATGACCGCCGCGGATGAGGGATTGGTAGGCACTATAGGTAAAGACATGCAAACCGTGCCGGGCACAGATCCGAGTCAAAATCTGACCAACGGAGTCTATTCCCTGCCCGGGTGCCCCTCCTACAGCCATTACAAAATCATATTTTGCCATCTTGGCTCCCTTCTAATTTTTGTATTCCATTCTGGTGTAGCGAATTCACCGAAGGTACACCACGGTTCGATAAACCTGACGACACCAGAGTAGTGGACAAATAAGCAAATTGCTTCGTTTGTTAGTTACATTGCGATATTTGCGCCTTTTTCTTAATATTCATGAACACATAAAACATTTTTCTTTCTTTAATTATACTACATTCGATTCATTTTTTCAAGTTTTTTTAAGATTTTGCAAATTTATTGCAACGTTTATCGGAGCATCAACTTTTATGAATTCAACCCATTGAAAGTAGTTTTTCGGAAAATTCTGCACCTATGGACAAACGCCAAAATGTGTATCTGTCCCATGCTTCGGAGGAATTTTGAGGGGACATGCGCTTCCGCACTACGCTTGGCTCAATGCTATGAGTGCTTGTTTCGCTTCCGGGGTTCCAATTTTTTCCAATGCATACGCTGCATGATATTGAACCCGTTCGGAGTCGTCTTCTAATGCTTTGATTAACGCAGGTACAGCTTCCTTGGCGGCATCTTCGAGATTTGAGAGTGCGTATGCACTATAGGTACGAATCTCTTCCGCTGGATCGCTTAAAGCTTGAATAAGAACCCGGATCGCCCCAATTGCCGCTGATCCCATGCTGCAGAATGCACGGAGAGCATATTCGCGGAGTTGCTCATCTAAGTCTTGTAATGCTTCGCTGAGTGCTGGAATAGCAGGGGCACCAATTCTACCTAACGTATCACTTATGCAGAGGGCATGATGTCGTTCGGCTATTGCCAATTCTTCCATAAGTGCTGGCACTGTGGCTTCTCCAATTTCCGCCAAAATGTCTGCCGCTTGGTCGGGAACATCCCACAAGTTTTCGGCGAGTGCCTCGATCAGTCGTGGAATAGCCGGTTCGCCGATAGCGACCAGTTCCTTTTTCGCTGCCTCACGGACATCGTCCTCCATATCCGACAAATCATCAATCACGTCGGCTATGACGCGTTCGTTGTCCATTTATTCACCTTTCTTAACATACGCCAACATTGTGATAAGACGGTCAGTTTGCTCGGGTCGCAAGTATTTGTAAAACCATTCGGAAAACTCACGTTCGGCTCTGGTGAGTTCCGCCGTGAGTGCGGGGACGGTAGATTCGCCGATTTTTGCCAATACCTCCGCAGCATGATTCGCCATCTGTTCCATGTAAACAGGAATAGCGGATCCTTCAATGTGCGTGTAAAACTCGGCTCCGTACCCAGAGATATGCCAACATTCCTGAGTAAGGACATCGATTAACTGCGGAATAGCCGGCGTGCCTATAGCAATCAATTCTGCTTTCGCAGTATCCCGAACGTTTTCGTCTATGTGACCCAACGTGACGATCAAATCAGCGATGTGGTGTTTGCTATGCATCGTTTCCCCTTGTTTGTTCTTCTAAGAGTGTAGTGAGGCGTTCCGTTTGTTCTCGGCGCAAGCGTTTGTAGACGCGCTCCGAAATCTCTTGTTTTTCGTGCTTATCATCAAGATGCGTAATAAATTCAAGCCTTGCGACGCGAACATGATCGAGGTCGTCTGAACTCAGTTTACGAAGCCAGCCTGCGTCTGATGGTGTTGAGGTGTCATCAGTGTCAGACTTCGTACTGTTGTTTGCTCTGCGAAGTTTAAAAAGCGCGGCGACGAAGAATCCACCAGCCAATGCTGCTGCGACAGCAATAAGTATCAACTGTCCCAAGTTAGATGTTTGCCCCGGTAGGGCACCACCGGCAGGCCCCATGTTTACGTCAAGTGATAAGTCAACCGTTGCCCCTGCCGCGAACGCCTTTGGCGCAGTGCTTTGATATATAAGATAAATACTGTTGTGAATCTGTTCGCGCTTTGGTGCACCGAAAAACTTCGCGCTCGGCACAAAGCTGATACTTTCGGGGACAAAGAATACAAATTGTTCCGTGGCAAAATTCAAGCGACGAGATAAATCCAGGCTGTTTTCTTCGACGTGGAAGAGATAAGTATAGCCTAATTGTGTTTCCCCTGGTGGCAATGGCGTTGTGAGGATGGCTTGATTCGTAACAGGGTTTATCGTGAGTTCCGTTGACTGATGTGGCTGAAAACCCTCGGTTCCTTTAGGAAGGGTTAAATGCAGTCCGACTGTTCGCGTGCCGTGCGTTGTTCTAAAAGGTAGGTCGCTCAAGTTTTCAATCCCAATTGCTTCAATGACTGTGACGGCACCATCTGGCGAGTGGTCCGGAGGCGGAGGCGCAATGACAAAACTATGCGACTTCACACGGATTTGCGTTTTGTCATCTGTAAATCCCCCGATTTCAAAGTCAATTTTGATGTTCGGAGCCCAGGTCGACAAAACCACGTCCTTCTCGGTGTAGTTAGTTCCTTCATGAACGGTAGAAACCGTATAGTGAACGCTTGGATTAAGTGGTAAGTTCCCAAAACGATAGTTCCCATTTTCATCTGTCATCGTTTCTTGGGTCTCAGCGGTGTCAGCCTTATGAATGGTAAGGGTTACAGGCAGAGCGACGAGGGGTTTGTCCTGCTTTTTATCGATAACCGTGCCTTGAATACCGCCCGATTCTGTCGTTTGTGCGTAGGAAGTCGGAAGTGAAAAAAGAAGCGTCAAGACAACCGCTAATAGGCTGGGCATCCACCACAGAGTGAGATTGTGAACCTGCGAATTGCCCCTTGAATTCCGATACGAAGATGCGTTCGTGTACATGTTATGTTCCACGTTGTTGTTGTTTAAATCTCTCAATTTCTGCTTCTACATCTGACAGAGACTCACTTTCGAGTTGCATAATGACGCGCGCAGTCTCTCGCAAGAGTTCCTCACGCAATTCTTGATAGTCGGCATCTGAAAGTTTCCCAATTTCATAATCTTCGTCGAGATCTGTCAGTGCGGCGTAGCTGCGTTCACGTTCCTGAAAAAGAGTTCGTCGCCGTTCCGCGATGACATCGTCGGACGTTGTAGCAAGTTGAGCACCTGTTTTCGAGAAAATCGGAAGTCCCAGATACACGAGGAGTGCGATTCCAAGAATTACCATCCACAAAATCACGAAAAAAGACATGAGAAACCCTTTCTGAAGTGTTCGCGAAGCATCTATTCTACCCAAGAAATCGTCACGTTTAGTTTTGCCGCTTGTACCTTTCCAATTCAGCTTCGACCTGTTTCACAGTTGTATCGGAGACCTGTTGTTTTGGTACTTCAAGCCCATCACTTGTGACCATTTCCTGTCTCAATCTTCGTAGCACGGCAAAGGCAACGCCACCGATTAGGACAAGAATGACGACTGGCATAATGTAGGCAAGTAAATTAATACCCTCTGCGGGCATGACTGCGTAAAACTGCGGTCCGAATGTGTCAAGGTAGTTCGTACGAATCTGCTCGACCGTTTGACCGGCGAGCAATCTATTGTGAAAATCCTTTTCAATCATCGCTGCCGTGTTGCAGACACATACTTTGATTGTTTCTCGCTCACAACCACAGTAACAGTAGACTGCGGTGATCAACTCCTCTAACTCGGACGCTAATGTGGCATCCTTCGCGTCCTTCGGTGCTGCTGCGCGAGACGCCTCCATCTGCGCGTGTCACAGGGACAGTAAAACTGCAAGCGATGAAAAGCGCAACAATCCACATAAAATTAGGAATCACAGCGGTGTTGGACATGGCAATGTTTTCAAATCTTCCAGTTTTCATAGTCTTGTCCTTCGCCTATTGAGAATCTTTATTGTGTTCAGATTTTTCGGCTATCGCGACAATCCCGCCTAACACCATCACAGCAACGCCGATCCAGACAACGCCAATGAGAGGATTGTAGTACGCCTGTACGTTCACAATACCTCCTGTTTTAACATCCGGCGGAATGCTGCCGAGAGAAATATAAAAGTCGTTCACACCGAAGTGACGGATGGCAGATTCAATAGTATCCGGTTCTCCCTGTCCAGTCTTGTGATAGAAGTGGCGTGCTGGTTCCATTGTCCCTATCTGTTTCCCGTTCTTTGCGACATCAAAAACGATGCCGGTTCGGCGATAGTTCGCGAATTCTTTCTCAAACGAGTCTTTCATCGTAAGTTGAAACTGGCCAACCTCCATTGATTCCCCGATTCTCAAACTCTTGGATTCAAGCAGAAAATAGCCTTTCGATCCCATAATACCTATATAGACGATAACGATGCCGATGTGGACGATGTAACCGCCATACCGTCTCTTATTACGCTGGATAAGGAGGTTCAAGCCGTTGAGGAAGGAGGTTTCCTGTCGTTTCGCGCGGAGTTTTGCACCGCGATAAAATTCAGCGGAGATTGCCGCAATCACGAAAACACTTGCGGAGACACAGAGGACCGAGTAGACCGGAGAAGTCTTGCCTTTTAAAGCGAGAAATCCCCATGCCAACGCACCTCCGACTAAACCGATAGCAAGCGGCAACAGAAACATTCGCTGGAAGATTATTGGCAGTAATCTTTTTCCATGAGATAATTGGACCCGCACCTGTGAGGAAGAGAAGCAATAGCCCGGGAATAATAACAACTTGATTGAAAAAGGCTTCAGGAACAGAGGACTTTTGACCGTTAATCGCCTCGGAAATAATCGGCCACAACGTACCCCAGAGAATGATTAGGGTTAACCCGACGAGGAGCCAGTTATTCAGAACAAAAGCACTTTCACGAGAGAGAAGGGATTCTAAGCGATTGGCACTCTTAAGGCGTTTCCAGCGATAGATGATGAGTCCGATGACACCGGCAGTCGAAGCTAAGATGAAACCGAGGAAATATCCGCCAATATCAGATTGTGCGAAGGCGTGCACCGATGAAATGATCCCGCTACGCGTGATGAAGGTTCCCAAGAGTGTGAATTGGAACGCAAGCGTAACGAGAAGAATATTCCACAGCTTGAACATATTCCGCTTCTCTTGAATCATCATGGAGTGTAGATAAGCGGTACCGAGGAGCCACGGCATAAAAGAGGCGTTTTCAACCGGGTCCCATGCCCAATAACCGCCCCAGCCAAGCTCGCGATATGCCCAATTGCCACCAAGCGTGATGCCAATGGTCAAAATAATCCATGAGAACAGCATCCACCTGCGTGACCGAAGTATCCAGTCGCTTCCAATTCTACCGGAGGCGAGTGCACCAACGGCAAACGCGAACGGCACCGTCAGGCTAATCCAACCGATATATAACGTCGGTGGATGAAATGCCATACTTGGGGTCTGAAGGAGTGGATTCATACCGGCACCGTCAGGTGCCATCTGTCCATTCGGAAATCGGTCAAGTGGATTGTAAACCCCTTCAATGATTCCAGTGACGAGTATAATAAAGAACAGTTGCACGACTGCCATTGGAATCAGGGCGTAATCTGAGAGGGTATCATTCGTTTCTTTATTGTGGCGGTGGTTTTGCCAGACGACAATCATGCCTGCGACAGTCAGCAACCAGAGCCAGAATAAAAGAGATCCCGACATTCGTCCCCAGAGTGCTGTGATTTTATAGAGTAGGGGTTGCGCTGCGCTTGATACCTCAACAACATAGCGCATTGAGAAATCGTCGGTTACAAAACCATAGATTAAGGCACCGGTCGCAATACTGATGAGGATGAAGGTGGCGACGACAGCATTCCTGCCGCTCCGGATGGCGTTCCGATTTCGCGTGCGTAGCCCGATGCTGAGGAAGCCAATCGCCCACAAGCCAGAGAGCACAGAGAGATATATAGCGGCCTGTCCAATTTCCGCAGTCATTCGTTTCTGCGCCTCCTCACTTTTGATAGCAAGTTCAACCCCTTCCGAGTAACGGGTGGGGACCCCGAGGTTGTAAGTTGCGTCAAAAAAGTGTTGTTGAGCATGTTGCTAAAGTGTTGTTGTATTTCTTATTGCGAGATGTACGAGGTCTCATTCGTGGGTGTGGCACTTTCTGCTCCCTCGTATTTCGAGGCACACTTCGTCATGAGTTTAGAAGCGACAATAAGGTTCTGCGCTGCATCGTATTTGCCTTCTACGAAAACGCTACCACCATCCGTAAAATTATCCGGTTTAAGTCGATCCTTGTAAATCACGTTGACTGTTGCCGCAGTTTCGCGGTCGCGCACAGCAAAGGTGAGCTTAAAATTGGCAGCATCCCATTTGGAGTTGCCTTCTGCAATGATCCCATCAACTTGGATCTGTTGATTGTCCATTCTGTCTCCGCCTACCACAAGCGCAGCTGGCGTAAAATGCCGAACGCTTGTCCTTTTAATCCCAGTTCCCACTAAAAGTGCCATACCACATAACAAAATGACGCTCGCGGCAACCACCTTAAGCCTTCTCTGTTTTTGCACCTCAACATCCTCCATTAATGAGAATCAGCAGGCGTGATTTGGCGAAATTCGAAAACCAAATCTTGCTGTTATAAAGTCAACCGTTCTGACGAGACGAATTCATCTCTTTAAAATAATACTTGATTTTACATGCAAAATCAAGTTAAAATAGAATTTAACTTGGAGAATCGGACAGAATTTTTAATAAAAGGCAGTCAGGTTAGACGCTTTCAGGAATTTATATATTGGCGAATGTAGTTTTACTATGTTCACGAACGAGAGGGTAAAGTTGTGAAAATCCTCGATTTTCACACGGACATTTACGGAAGATATGAAAATAAATTGGCAACATCATCCGTGGGCGGGTGTATTTCCGGCGACGCTCTGCCCTTTTCATGAAGATGAATCGATTGACGAAGTCGGATTGCGTCAGTATATGCAGGAACTCGCAAGTGTGCCGGGAATAAAAGGGGTCGTCTGTAATGGACACACCGGCGAAATCATGTCCCTCCGCTTGCATGAAAGACAACGCGTTACGCAAATTACCGCTGAAGCTGTTGGGGATCGGGTTAAAGTCGTTTCAGGGGTTAGCGCAGAAGGAAGTCTCCCGGCAATCGATGACGCACTCGCGGCAAAGGAAGCCGGGGCGGATGCCATCTTGTTGATGCCTGCGCATCACTGGCTGCGTTTTGGAAGAACACCTGAAACCGCAGTCGGCTACTTCCAAGATGTCGCCGAGGGCGCAGATATACCGATTATTGTTCACCAGTACCCCGCATGGACAAAGGCAGGATATAGCCTTGAAGAGATGTTGGAAATGGTGAAGATTCCACAGGTTATCTGCATTAAAATGGGCACCCGTGAAATGGCGCGCTGGCGATGGGACTATGAACAGTTGAAAGAAGCCGCACCGGATGTGCCTATCTTGACCTGCCATGATGAGTATCTGCTTGCCTCCTTATTGGAAGGAAGCGACGGTGCGCTCATCGGGTTCGCAGGTTTTGTGCCCGAGTTGATGGTGGATGTCGTCCACGCCGCACTCAACGACGATCTCATCGGTGCACGTAAGGCGCGCAGTCAAGTAGACTCACTGGCACGAATCGTCTATAACTTCGGTGAACCGAGCAGTGACGCGCATCAGCGAATGAAATGCGCTCGCTGGTTGATGGGCAGATTCCCCTCAATGACGATGCGCCGACCCCTTCGTCAATTGTCCACAGCCGAAGTAAATAAAATCCGAACACGTCTTGAAGAGACCGGCTATCAGTGCGCTAATTAAGTTTTTTGGAAACTCGTTCACTGATAGGTGTTGTGTCTTGATGTAAGTTGTGCACGGAATTAGAGGAGCAGAATGTCACGTCTAAAATATGCCTTAATTGGCCACGGTAGACGCGGTGCGGCACATCTGTCAACAGCCGCTACATTAAAGGACACCTTTGATATAGTTGCCGTGTGTGATGCGCACGCCGAATCCGCAGAGGCGGGCGCGGCACGTCTCAATATTGGCTTGCAAGCTGGCCAAAATCGGCGTTAAAGCCTATACCGATGTCCGGAAAATGATTGATGAAGTATCGCCTGATGTCTGCGATGTCGTTGTGCCTGCGCCTTTACATCATATCGTTTCCTGTTACCTTTCCCGATGTGGCATCTCGCATAATGTAGAGACAGGGCTTGCACCGACACTCGGTTTGATGGATATGATGATAACTGATGCTGCCGAGAATGGGGTAAAACTCCAAACGTCAGAAAATTTTCCTTTTGTCCCTGTGGAACAATTCGTCTGCAAACTCATTAAGGAAGGCGTAATTGGGAACGTCCACAAGTGTTACCGACTCTTTTCTACAACCGGCTATCATGGACTTGCTGCAATTCGGTGCCGTATGGATGCCGCCCCCAAAACGGTCAGTAGCATCGGGCATACGATGCCTGTTTCTCCCTACGTTGACAGGGCAAAACGGGATTACAATCGGGAAGGTCTTGAGTTTTATGCCGTCGATTTTGAGAACGGCGGAATCGGCATCGCCATGGTCGGCAATAAGAATGGAGGCCTCGGACGGAATAAACTTGTCGGTTTCGAGACTTGTGGTGAGCGCGGCACGATCATCACCAACGGAAATCAAAGTGCATCGGGTGGCGAAACGGTCAACGTTTGCACGGATGAAGACCTCACCTTGCGAGCGGGAAGGGCACAAACTTATGAATTTCAGAGGGAGTCCGGTGACGATGGAACGCTGCGTCGGATCTTCGTAGAACTGCCGCCGTCATTAGGTGGGACTGTCGAATGGGTGAATCCTTATCAGCAGACGACCATCGCAGAGTCCGGCATCTCATTAGCAACTATGCTTGACGGTATCGCGCGCGCTGTTCGGGAAGACACACAGCCACTTTGGACAGGCGAAATGGGCAGAGCAGACCAAGAGATGGTAATTGCGGCGCATCGGTCAATCGACATGAATCGACAGCCTATCGAGCTACCCCTTGAACCTGATCCGGCTGAAGAAGACGCATTTGACCGCGATTTTGAAGTCCAGTTTGGTGTTCACCCACGCGAAAATATTGAAAAAGCATTACAGGTTAATTTCAAAGCGCGTTAATTGGAATGCCTCCAACCAAGGTAGGTGCGGTTTCCCAACCGCACCGAGTCTGAAGAAAGAATACTTTGTCGGCGAGGGTTCACATACCTGAATCCGATAATCTATTTATGAGATGGCTTACAATAATTCTAAGCACGTATAATAGAGGTAAGGAATGAAAGAAATTAAAATCGGGTTTATCGGATGTGGTGGCAACGCGAATGGGCACATGAACCAATTAGCAGGGATCAAAGGCGCAAGTGTTGTGGCTGTGTGCGACGTTCAAGCTGAACGCGCCCAGAGCGCAGCTGAGAAACATAATGCTGATCCCTATACCGCACACCAAGCCCTGCTCGAACGTGATGACTTGGATGCCGTCTATCTGAGTCTCCCAGTTTTTGTCCACGGACAGCCAGAGTTTGACGTTATTGCGCGCGGCTTACCCTTTTTCGTTGAGAAGCCCGTTGCTATCAATATGGATATCGCCCGTGAGGTTGAAGCCGCAGTGGCAAACGCTGGACTCATAACGTGTGTCGGTTATCAACTCCGTTACCTCGGTTCGACAAAAATAACGCAGCAGATCCTGCAGGAAAGAACGATTAACATGGTCGTTGGTAAGTACTGGTGCAGTACCGGACACGGTGACCCGAGCGCATGGCTCCGCCAGATGAACAAATCCGGCGGTCAACTTGTCGAACAAGCGACACATACGATCGACATGATGCGTTACATGGGTGGAGAAGTGGAGACTGTCTATGCCATGCAGGCGAATCGGTTTCTCAAGGAGACGGATTGTCCTGATGCCAACAGTGTCTCTCTCCAGTTTGCGAGTGGTGCCGTCGGTTCATTGACTGCTACTTGGGCTTACGCAGGTGACTGGTCGAACACGAATGTCTTGGATTTATTGTATGAGGGAGAGTTGTTGAATTGGAATCCATCAAGGGTCTCGGTCCAGGAAGATGGCGAATCGGTGGATAAGACAGAACCGAGCCCAACAATTGACGAGGTTTTCGTGGACGCAGTGCGGAGCGGTGATGCTTCTTCAATCTTGAGTCCTTATAGTGATGCAGTCAAAACGCTTGCAATATCGCTGGCAGCAAACCAATCCGCGCAAGAAGACAGACCTATAGCCATTTCGGAGATTTTGTAAGGGGACCTTCCAAACTTGCTTTAAAAGGAGTTGCTCATGTCGCAAACTTCGTCGAAATATCGTGTAGCAATCGTCGGATGTGGCGGTATCTCCAACGCGCACGGCAACGCATGGCGAGGCCTACCAGAAATTGAAATTGTGGGCGCATGCGATGAAAAATTTGAATCGCTCAAGCGTTTTGCTACAGAGTATAACGTTCAGAATACTTACAACGATCTCCGCCAAATGCTGGAGAAACAGCAACCCGATGTTTTAGTGATCGCAACGTGGCCCTCAAGTCATCTCAAAAATGTCCTGGAGGCAGTGCGGTGCGGAGTCAAAGGTATTCTTGTTGAGAAACCCATTACGGTTAACACCACGCAATTGGAGCAGATGATTCAGGTTACAGCGCGCGCCGACATCCGATTAATGGAAGCCTTCATGTATCGACATCATCCCTTGACGCTCGCTGTGAAACAGAAGATTGAGGAGGGGGCAATTGGAGAGGTACGCTATGCACGTTCTACCTTTTCAACAGGACTCATGGACCGACGAAATTGGCGATTAAGAGGCGATCTCGGCGGTGGTGCTGTCATGGATTTAGGCTGTTATTGCATCAATATCATCCGTTATCTCGTTGGGCGAGAACCACAATCGGTCTGGGCAACGGGCAAATTTGAACCGATTAACAACGTCTGGGAAACTCTGATTGGAACCTTAGACTTCGGCAATGGTATTACTGGGCAATTGGATTGTAGTTTCGGTTGGACGTGGCGTGAATCTTATGAGGTCGCTGGGACAGATGGCACGCTTTTTGTTCAGAGTGCGTGGGGCAATTCGGAAGGCGAATCCCATTTCATAGTAAACGGCGAAACTATTCGTGTTGCTAATGGTGTGAATCCTTATGCCGCTGAGATTTTGGATTTATGTCGAGCAGTGGATACGGGTGCACCAACGCACTTACCAATATCGGACGCACTCGGAAATATGCGTGTTATCGACGCATTACACGAATCGGCACACACAGGTCAGTGCATCAAACTCTCTGCATAAAATCTTTAAGTTGTTCTTGCTGCTAAACCCTGGTTGTAATATAAGGAGATAGGCTTTCTTGTGAGACCGGGTGAAGGGCTTGATTGTCTCCAATGAAAGCCCAGTTTCATCAGAAATCCGATTGA